CATTATAATATGATATAAAACTCAAAATAGTTGATTTTACATGATATTGCCCCTTTAAAAAATTAGACATAAGACAATTTCATAAGTTGTAAAATACGTTATAGGGCCTTGAGTGGCACAAATTTTAAAAAGGTTGTGTGGGCAATGGACAAATTTCATAATCTTGGAGCTGCTTTTATTTGATCTCTAGGACTATTTAAAACAGTAGATTTGTTTTAATTAAAGTGTTCGAAGAAGTCTTCTAAGTTTGTTGTACTTAATGCTCTAAGAAAGTTTACTTTAAAAAGTAAGGAGGAGGGTTGGTGCCTTGTTTGCTTGTACTGTATATTAGGGGGTTAAAAAAGTTTCATTTTATAATTGCAAAATGACTTCCTATACTTTTTGAGTAAAGAAAACCAACAATTATGACTAATAGCAAATTCTTGTATAAAGAAAAAACAATAATTAAAAGAAAAACTAAATCAACCAGTCCAACCCTAAGCTTAAAATAAAAAGACAACTTGTATAGCATTTTAGCCAGTCGGTCCGAACGATGCAGTAGATTCACATTAGCTTCTGACAGATCTTATCTGGAAGCAAAACTGAATCTAATTTCAACAGGAGCAAAATGGTTTAAAAAAAACAGTTTAAATATAATATTTTTTATTTCCTGCATTTGATAATTTAATTCCATCGACCGTCTCACAGTCAGCAAAAACCTAATTATGTAAAGTACGTTTTCACTCGTGTGTCAGATGGATTTCGTCACAGTTTTTCACACATGCAGTGTGCATATAATCTCTAGCGGAGGATTTGTTTTTAGTGAGCGGTGCTCCTGCATGCTTGTACACAGATGCGTACGCGTTAAAGCGCCCTTCGGTGTAATTGTCAACTCCAAATCCTCCGCAGGTGATGTTAGGGCTCGTGGGGCTGGGCAGAGTCATTTCCATTTCAGAAAGTTCCTCCCAGGGACACGAGTGCACACGAAAAGAGTGTGTGGCTTTTTTTTCTGCAGATGCCTAAATGTTTGTGTCCATGTTTTCGCAGCCAACTGTGTAAATCAATACAGCAAATAAAGCTTATCTGTTTTGCAGGATTTTTTTTTAACCCGGCTACATTATCTGCAAGTTCATCATTCAAACTGCCAGGGTGACGGAGAACGAGTGACTCAGTAAAAACTTCTTTAAAAATGCATGTTGTTTAAGAGATGATTTATTTATGAGTGGCTGTGTATGCCATTTTGCGTACGCAGCTGGAGTGTCACTGATGTCGACTGAAGATTCGCAGAGGGAGTAAACACAGTGAAAAGTGCAGCGTAAAAGATTTGGTTTGGGTTGAAGAGAGACGTCTGGCCGGACTTTAGCTGTGTGGCCCCCTTCATGTGTCGCTCGTCTCCAAGAAAAGAAAAACAGTTTGATCATATTTTGTATTTTTCTCCGTCCTCCAGATTTTGACCCCAACCTCGGCATGATGGCTGGAATTACCCCCATGAACCCCATGATGCCCGGCCTCGGTATGGTGCCTGCRCCCGTCTCCCAGGACGTGCCCGTTATAAAAGAGATCATCCACTGCAAGAGCTGCACCTTGTTCCCCCCCAATCCCAGTAAGTCAGAATGTCATGCTGATTCTGCGTAAGCCACCAGCAGAGGCTTGGCTTTTACCAGAATATCATCTAAAAGATTTTCTACACCACTGGGAGCTGTATTTTATTGAGAATTTGAAGGCAAACAGCTTGACCAAACAGTTTTCTACACAAAATCCCATTATGGGTCATCTTAAAGGCCTGTTCAATATACTGTAGCTGTTGAGCTCCTTTTCTTTCACAAAATGGTATAAGTAAGTAAATAAATAAGTAAGTWAGTAAGTAAATAAATAATTAAATAAATACCCACCAAAAGTCCCAGGGGATGACTTAAAATCACTTCTTAATTTCAATATTTGAACTCCGATTATTCAGTTCACTGCCTTTTAAAAATATTAAACTAGAAACTCGACATTTCAGGAGCCGGTGACATTTTAGCTTTGGGAAAATGATGTGTTTTGAAAACATGCATTAGCTTTTTTTTTCTTTTAAATAACTAATCATCACGATTCTAAACATTCTAGAGCAGGGGTGTCAAACTCATTTTCACTGAGGGCCACATGAGCATTACGGTGGCCCTCGAAGGGCCACTTGTAATAAACTTTGACGTTTCATGTTTAACTTAGATTAAACAGTGTTTTAACACGTCCTCTTTTAAATACTGATAAGAACTAAGTGTATGACTGACTAAATCTGAAATAAGTACAGAAATATTATTTAGTTTATGGTTGATGCTGACTTTATGCAGCTTATTTTCAGCCATTAATACTGTGCTATCCAACTAAATTGCTCTGTTACTTAAAGCCAAGAGCTCAGGGACAGGAATTTATTAAATTTATTTTTATTTAAGTTATTTTTATTAAATTGGGTGGCACGGTGGCTCAGTTGGTAGAGCTGATGCCTCTCAGCAAGAAGGTCACCAGTTCAAATCCCGGTCCGGGGACCTTTCTGGGTAGAGTTTGCATGTTCTCTCCGTGCATGCGTGGGTTCTCTC